GTATGTAAGTATGTCTGTGTGTGTTTGTGTGTGTCAGTCAGTATGTCTGTCAGTGTATGTGTCTGTGTGTATGTATGTCTGTGTGTCAGTATGTCTGCTAGGATATATTTGTATGTCAGTGTATGTGTGTGTCAGTATATATCTGTGAATGTTTTAATGTCTGTCTGTATCAGCCATTACGTCTGTCTGTGTATATGTCAGTATGCCTGTGTGTGTGTGTGTGTATGTCAGTATGCCTGTGTGTGTGTGTCAATGTGTCTGCCAGTGTATGTGTCTGTGTGTTTGAGTATATCTGTCAGTGTATGTGTTTGTGTGTGTGTCAGTATATCTGTTAATGTATGTGTCTGTGTATGTATGTATGTCTGTGTGTGTGTCAGTATGTCTGACAGTATATATTTGTGTGTAGTGACTTTGTGTGTCAGTATGTATCTGTGAATGTTTTAATGTCTGTCTGTGTGTGTATGTGCTAGTACGTCTGTCAGTGTGATTGCGGGTTGGACGTAATTGGGCGGTGAGGCAGTGGCAGGGACAGGGCCCATGGGGCCCAAGAAAATGCATTGCCCAGGGTCCTAATCATATTATAGACGGCCCTGCCTGGGACACAAAAGTTCCGATATGCATATGAAAAGCATATCGGACTGGACTAGATTAAAAAAAGGAAAAAGGTGATTTTATACCTGTGCTTAGTGATTTGATTTTAAAAGGTATAAAATCACCTTTTATTCCAATGGCCATTTGTACATAAGCTCACCTGCCCCGTCAAGGCAAGCCCCAAAAGGTGAATCCTACTCTAGCCATTAGTTTTGCTGATCTCAGCCAAGAATCCCCAATGAGACAGGAAGGGGTATTTTATAAACCCTTTCACATTTAACCCTTTATAGGGCTTCTACACATACAATAAACTTTGCTGGTATCAAAGTGTAAACATCTCAAATGAAACATAAACTCTTAATAAGACAAACATGGGGTGGCTGGCAGCAATGTAACAGCTGTGTGATACAAACACCATATACAAACACAAAAAAAAGCACAGCGCTTACAGCAGCAGTAGCTTAGTATCCAACAGCTCAAAATACATAGTAAAAACAAAGAGAACGTCACCTGCGCTCTGGCATATTTCAATATAAGCTAATTTATCCCTTTATTGAGTAGCTTGTCTGCATTGCTTTCTGCACTTTACTCCACCTATCATTCCTTTATTACACACACACACTGACCCAAGGAAACAAACACACACACACACACACACTGACCCATGCAGACACGCACACACAGAGCCTGAAGCAGACACTCACACTGACCCAAGCAGACACACACACACTGATCCAGGCACACACACACACACACACACACTGATCCAGACTCAAGCAGACACACATACTGATCCAGACACACACAAAGACCCAAGCAGATACACACACAGACCCAAGCAGATACACATGCTGACCCATGCACTTACAGACCCAAGCAGACACACACACTGATTCAGACACACACACACACACACACACACAGACCCAAGCAGATACACACACTGACTCAGGCACACAAAGACCCAAGCAGACACACACACACACACACACACAAACCCAAGAAGATCCACACACTGATCCACACAGACACACATACACTGCCCAAAGCAGACACACACACACTGACCAAAGCAGACACACACAGACCAAGTAGACACAAACACACACACACTGATCCAGACACACACACAGACCCAAGCAGATACACACACTGACCCACACAGACACACACACACTGACCAAACCAGACACACACACACACACACACACACTGATCCAGACAAACACACACACACTGATCCAGAAAGGCAGACAGACACACACTGATCCAGACACACACACACACACACACACACACACTGATCCAGACACACACACACACACACATTGACTCAAGCAGATACACACTGATCCAAGCACACACAAACATACTAACTGAAACAGGCTGACACACACACACACCTTGAAGCCCCCCACTTGCCTTCATTTCATGTTTGCTCTCTGTGGATCCCAGTCCAGGCCTGGCTGCCTTCATGCTTTCTTAGCTCCTCCCCCCCACAATCCTCCTGCCCACTTGACCCCAAGCTCCAAGTACAGGGGAGGGGGCAGGAGTGATCGCGTGCTGTGCCCATGCACGGCCGGCATGAGAGGTGTATAAAGGAGGGGCGGCTCTCAGTGCTCTTTGCGTGCTGAGATTGATGGCGTTAGTGCTTGGTGCCATGACCTCCGGCACGCAATACAGAATGTGTCCCACATAGAGGGGGGCGTCCCAAGTCAGCAGTAAAGCTGCTGCCGGCACCCCCCTTTAAGAAGCACCCTAGGCAGCTGCCTAGGCCTATAGGACGCGCCGGCCCTCGTTCTTGGAGAAAGAGAGAACCTCTTATATCCTGTATAGTTTTGATGTTTTATTATTCTAATTGTCTGTCCATTTTGGGGTTGGTATCCTCTCCCCTTTTCTGGTCTAATACTTCCCTTCACTGTGAATGAACATACACTCCATCTCTGTTGGTTATTGCAATCTAAATTCTGAAAGAAGGAAAGTATAAATAAAAAACAAAAGAAAAAAAAAGAAAAATCACTACAGAGAGCAGAGAAAGCCTGATATATTATCCATTTTGTTTATCCATGTGTCCCAGTCTTCTATTTGCTTGTATCTGTTTTCTAAATTCACCAGAATACCCCTTTCCATTCTTGCTTGCCATATAACTTGTTTTATTAGTTCATTGGTGCATGGAATTATCCCTATTTTCAAGTTTCGTGCTAAGAGTATCTTAGCTGCTGTGATTATGTGTAATATTAACATTAATGTTCTTTTTGTCCTATCTGGACAGTTCATGTTTAGTAAGACCACTTCAGGCTTAAGAGGTCATTTTATTTCCTTTATTTGGTATATTATCTTAATTATTTCTTTCCAAAATTTGTTTATGGTTGTGCACTGCCACCAAATGTGGATCAAATTACCTTCATTAATATTGCATTTCCAGCATCTATCTAATAACTCTGGGAAGATTTTCTTTAAGCGTTTCGGTGTTAGATACCATCTATTTGATAGTTTAAATCGGGTTTCTGTAAGGTTTAAGCAGTGTATATATTTTTTTAGTTTGTTATAGGAGCATATCCATTCTTCTTTTTCTATATGTACTTGCACCCACTTATTAATCAGTGCTATCGGTTTTTCATGTCTCCATCTATATACAACTTTAGCACATTTTGCCAGTAGATTTTTATAATTCTTTAGTTCAAATAGATGTATAAGGTTTATGGTAATCTCCCCCTTGTTTTTATAGAGGTGTTCTGCTAAGAAACTCTTAATTCACAGATAATTGAACTTTTCACTGGGGGGAATGTTAAATTCCTCCATAAATTGGTTGAAGGGTTTGAGATTGTGTTCCACTACTATATTTTTAAATTCCCTTATCTCCCCAGACGTCCAAATGTCTGTTTTTATATTTTCTAACATATCTAAAATACTTGAGAATGGGAGCGCATCTATTATTTTGTTTCTGAATCCTTTGTTGTTTGTAAAGTTATCCCACTGTCTTGTTAACTCTTTGAGTATCTGGGATTTAATTCGTGCCTCTCTAATACATTTTTTATTTACCTCTAAAACCCAAAATAGTGAGGGTACATTTCCAACCCCAGTTTTAGCTTTTTCCATTTTGTACCATATTTATTGACTTGCCGCATCGCTTTGTGTGAGCATTATATGAAAAAGTCTGCTAGCCTGATAGCATTGCAAAATTTCTGGGCACCCCAAACCTCCGTCCTACCTTGATCTGGCCCAAACTTTCATTTTAACTCTTTGTTTCCTGCCCTCTCATATGAATTTTAAAAAAGAGGAGTGTAGTAAAGACAGCCAGTTTTCTGGGAAGTTAATAGGAATCATTCTCCATAAGTACAGCCATTTTGGCAAAATATATGGTTTTAGGATGTTGATCCTACCCGACCAAGAAAAGCCTGTGCCTTTCCAGTCCCTTAAGTTTTTATTAGTTCGTTTTAGTAGGGGTAGGAAATTGGCTTCTATTAAATCTTTTAGGTCTGAGGTTATAGTGATACCCAAATATTTTAGCCTGTCCTTGTTTTTGGGGAGCCCAATTTAAAAACTCACAAAAGAAGTGGGTAAACCCTTTTTTCTTGATCTTACTATTTCAAGGGATGACAACAATCGACTTCAGACTACCTTGTATAGGAAACCGACAGCCACAAATAACCTAGGTTGGAACAGCCACCATCCTAAATCACTTAGGAAGGGAATCCCAATCGGATAATATTTGAGAGTCTGTAGAAACTGTTCCACCCTAGAGGATTTTAAAATTAAAGCAAAAGAGTTGAGGTTACAACTTAAGGAACGTGGGTATCCAAATCGCTGTCTAAAAGCAGCATATAAAAGGGCCTTAGACATGGACAGAGAAGTAATGCTGTCAAATACTCCACAACAAATGAAAGACCCTTCCCCCATTTGATTTATAGGTAAATTACTATACAGGATGGGACATAGCCAAGGGAATACTTAATAGGTTTTGGCCCCTCCTTACACAAGATGTTCATCTTAAAGACACCCTTACACCATATGCGTCAACAGCAAGAAGGGGGAAAAAGGGACATTCTAGTACCTAAAATCATTGAAGGTAGCTCCCCTGATGAAAAATTCACAGTGAAACATTTTTTTAACTGTAAAATAAGTGGACTGGTGTATCTACTAAACTGCTCATGTGGAAAAAATTATGTGGATAAGATGTTTAGACAGTTCAAGCTACATATTTAAGAACACATTGGATCTGTCAAGTACAAGAATGATACCCCGATTTCAAGACATATGTAAGAATGTCACTCAGGGTCTTCAAAAGACCTATGTTTCACAG